GTAGGTGGTGGAGGTGAGGAAGACGACGTGGTTGGCTTCTTCATCGTCCTCCCTCACGAGCAGTTTGGAGGAGACGCAACCCATTCCCACCTCCTCTGCAACTTCTTCCTCTCCGTTCGACTCGTGGAGTCGAAGGAGATGCAACGGCTACCTTTCTATTTGTCGGGAATATACATTGTACTCTCCTCCAACGGTCGAAAGATCCGATCATTTCTTTCGTATCTCATGTGGTGATAAAGGACGAACGGTCTTGATGATCACCGGGAGTTGACGTGTACGGACGACATGCGTCGGTTTCATAGCACGATCTGAGTAATCTAATCGTGCTACTATTCGTGGAGCATCGTAACCACTAATCCAGTGAATTAAACGTGATTAGCCACTAATCCCATGCATTAAACCACAATTCAAAGCTTTATTCTCGATGTATATTAGCAACACAAACGGAATTTGAGTACATTTTAGCCACAGTAATCTGTGTTAGCTAAAAGACGACGTCGCAAGTTGTACTCATATTTCATACGCATCTCCAACTCAATGCAGAGGAAGAAGGAGAGGCACGCCAAGCTCTCACGCGCCGCAGCATCAAGATGGCTTCTTGTTACGCTGGGTCTCGTCGAAGAGCTGCACGCACCTGCCGTTCAACTGCTGCACCGGCCTGGCGTTGTAGCGGTACTTCTGGCTCAGAGGCGCTTGAAGCGAGTTCGCCTGCTCCTTGGTCATCTCCCTCACCTGAATCAAGCGGCAATGTCAGCCATGGAAGGCCAAGGCGGAGGTGGTGAAGGTGAAGGGCGTGGTCGTACCTTGCCGAGGATGTTCCATGTGACGTTCTCGGTGCAGGGGGGCGTGGTGAGAGACCCGACGTATCGGAAGTACTTGCGAGTGCGGCGCTTCAAGGCCCTGGTTTGGACGACACCGAGCGGGATCTGCGCTTCTTGGTCTGCCGAGCACTGCTCCATGGCCAGTTTCTCCATCTCATCCTTGATCTGTGAATGGCAGGTGATGGATTCGGTCAGTCATTCCATCAAACAAACGGACTGCAGTTCGACCGCGATGTTATACCTGGAGGAGGAAGGCATCGGGGTGGCCGTAGTCGTACATGATGGCGACGACCGCGATGTTGCCGTCGTCGCTCTTGTGGATCAGCTGAAGCTCCACCGGGAACCTGTCGAATGCAGGAGTTAATACGCGCCGGTTTCCTTGTCGTTGCAAGTTACAGGAAAGGCCGCGAAACAGACCGTTCTCCGTCGATCAAGTGCTCGGAAGGTGAATGCCAAATCATCTGCGTCAGGCTGTAGCTCTTGCCATCCACCACTGCTTTCCCAGCAGATTCCTGGTATCGCAGCTGCAAGAACAAGGCCCACATCACTACCTTCAACCATTCCATGGGGATCAGTTAGTTAAAAGGAAGGAACATACCTCAATGCCGAAGCCATTGTTAACGAGGGAAGCCTTGGTGGAGACGTAATCCCTGGTAAGAGGACCCAGGTTTTGGTTGTAGGCCGTCGCATTCTTGACGATGTTGATGGGGGATTGGTGGAGCCCCTGAGAGCACAATTGGTATTCTGAGCTCAAGCTTCCCCATTTATCTGGTCCATTTGCTCCGCCGTATCCAAATTGGATGAAATCTGAAGAAGAACAGAGCGTCGTGTAGCTTCATCGAGAACATGAACAAGAAGCGAGAGAGAGAGAGAGAGAAATGTGAGTGAAGGCTTCATACCATGGGCGCAGGCGGAGACCAGAAGAAGGGAAGCAATCCCCAGGCAAAAGAAGGGCTTCACGTAGGTCATCGTCGTCTCCCTCCTCTCTCCTCTTTCTCCTCTGCTTTGTGCTGGATGGTGATCGTTGCAGGTGCCTACAGAGTTGGGGGTGTATATAAGGGGAAGGAAGAGAAGGATGGATGAGAGGGAAGAGAGCCTGCAAAGCTACATATAGTGGAACGGAGGAGGAGAAGCTTGTGGCGGTGGGTGTGCTTGCAACCTCCTCCGCCCTTTTGCATGCTAAATATAGAGAGAGAGAGAGAGAGAGAGAGAGAGAGAGAGAGGAAGGAAGACTACTAGTCGTGTAG